CCCATCTCCATTAGTGGTTCAGAAGTAAGTCTGACGGCTTATAACACTAAAACCCGGGTTTCGATACCCGTAGTGGGAACAGCATAGATAGCCCATTGTATAGTTTTGTGCTTAACAACAAACAATTAGCCTTCTCATTAATTTCAGCTTTACCATTCCTGTAAGAAAATCAAATGTGCAAGCTTTGGCCTTTAATTAGAGTTCTTTTATATGTAATGGCTCATTTGAGCACCTCACTGCGTCGGAAAGTGGAATTACGAAAAACAACATAAATTTAAGGTTCTACTTTTTAACTAAAGGGAATAGAAAACGTATGATACTATAAAAATTGTTCGCCCCTTCAGCTATGGGAACGTTATAATGTGACGGTCAATCCCACTACCGTTTAGAAATGATGGTAGTTTTGCACAAAATTCAAAAACAAAAACAAATTAAAAAAATAATTGTTTCTTATTATGATGAATTGCGTAATCTTAAGACTCTTAATATGGGTGCCCGAAAAAGCTTTTATGTTAAAAATAACACACACACACACACACACACATATATATATATATATATATGAACTCCAAATCCTAACACCGTTAATCTTAGTGGGTCAGCGTTAATTTTAAGGTAAAGTACAGGGTTCGATAACCCGCAGTGGATACAGTATATAACCTAATGTGGCTTTGCTCTAAAACAAACAACTTAATGTTATAAGTGTTTTAAAAACTAATAAGCTGCAAATATTAAGGCGTTAATTGTGTTTCTAGAAGAACATATAACTTTTTATGTTTTAAAAATGATTAGCAGCAGAACCTAAAAACGTTAATCTGGTATTAAAAATATTTGTTTTTAAACATGATAAACTTTCAATTTCTTTTCTAAAAAATATAAACTGCATATTTTTCATATTAACAAATGATAAGGTTTAAATCTTTAATTAGATCGTTTTATGTTTTAACAAGCAGATCTTCATTCTCTCAATCGTGATTCTAGTTAAGTACTTTATGCTTTTAGAATTTATACTAAAAAGATCTTAAGAGCATTGAATTTACTGCTGCAAAAGCGTTTATGTTTTGAGAATTGATTACCTGTATTCTTAAAACTATTAATATTTGTGTCAAACATTTGTTTTATCTTTTCACAACTAATAAACTGCAAATGTTAAAATTATTCCATCTTAGTGTTAAACAAATGTTTTATCTCTTCAAATTAATAAGCTGCAAATGTTAAAACTATTCCATCTTAGTGTTAAACAAATGTTTTATCTCTTCAAATTAATAAGCTGCAAATGTTAAAACTATTCCATCTTAGTGTTAAACAAATGTTTTATCTCTTCAAATTAATAAGCTGCAATGTTAAAACTATTCCATCTTAGTGTTAAACAAATGTTTTATCTCTTCAAATTAATAAGCTGCAAATGTTAAAAATTTAAACTTGCTGGAGCTACAAAAGTGTTTTACATTTTAACAATTGATAAGCTTTAATTTAGAAAACTTTATGTTTCAAGAAATACCAAATGTAAATCTTCAGATAATTAATGTTGGTGTTACAAAAGCGTTTTGGGTTTTAAAGCTGATAATGTATAAACCTTGATATAGTTATTCCTGGTACTGTGAAAGTGTTTTATATTTTAAAAAAATTCATGAACTACGTAATATCAAAAACCATTAGTTATTGTGCCATTCATCTTCTAATGCTAAAATTTGAGGTTCGATACCCACGGTGAGCGCAGTGCAGATAGCTCATTGTGTAGCTTTGCGCTTGCAACAAACAAACACGTTTAAAAATGGTTATACTGCAAAGTTTAAGACCGCTTATTCAGTGGCTTAAATAAACATTTGATTATTTGTTTTAAAAACTATTAAGTTGTGAATCTTTAAAACGCTAATCTTGAGGCGTTTATTGTTTTAAAATTGATAAACATCAAATCTTTAAATCGTTAATCTTGCAACTAGAAAAGTGTTTTTTGATTTTAAAATTGAAAATCTCAATATCGTTAATACAGGTGCTACAAAAAACGTTTTTTGTTTCAAAAACTTGATAAGCAACAAATGTTAAGATTCTAAACAAAACTCTTTTGCCTAAAAAAGTATAAAGTTCAAACTTGAAAACAATTGTAATGGTTGGAGACGGCTTGAATGGATAACGAAGAAAAACTTTAATATAAGTTTAACACAACAGCAAATGTACAACGTTTCGACAAGGTTTTGTCATCATCAAGTGGGTTCCTCGTCATCGAATTTAAAACAATTGATTATTGCATCAGAGAGCGTTTTGAAGTTTTAAAAAATCATAAATTGCACATATTAAGTCTTTTAATGTCGATATTATTTTTATGACACATTTAACTTTAAATTTTAATTCTTTTAATTCTGGTTTAATAAAAAGTTTTATGTTTTGAAAACCCATGGATTGCATAGTCTTAAAGTCTTTAATCTTGGTACTGCAAAAGTGTTTTATGTTTCGAAAATTGTTAAATTGTAAATCTTGAGAAAGTTAATAGTAGTGCTACCAAATCGTTTTATATTTTGAACATTGTACAATTACAAATCTTAAGATAATAATGATTTTTCTAGTAGTAGGCATGAACTCTTTCCTTTGTCATTTCCCATGTGCCAATTTTAACAATAGATTCCTTAAATAAGAGGTGGATTACAATATGCTCTTCATATTCAACTGGAAAAAATAAAATATAAGTCTTGATACATTCCAGTATGTAATCATAAGTGTCTTCATACGCACAGAAACCCAAATAATGAAATACAAAAACCTTAGCAATGATTGTTTGTTTTGAATTTCGCGCAAAGCTACATGAGGCTTATCCGCGCTAACCATCCATAATTTAGCAGTGTAAGACTAGAGGGAAGGCAGCTAGTCATCACCACCCACCGCCAACTCTTGGGATACTCTTTTACCAACGAATAGTGGGATTGACCGTCACATTATAATGCACCTACGGCTGAAAGGGCGAGCATGTTTGGTGGGATGGGGATTTGAACCCACGACCCGCAGATTGCGAGTCGTGCGCCCTAACCACCTGGCCATGCCGGCCACCTTTAGCAATGAGATGAAATTTATGAATCGTACGTCCAGAGATCTCTGTAAAGAGATGAAATTATCAATGATCAGCGACTTGGTATTCATCTGGAAATCTTTACAAACAGTTGAAATTAATTAATTGCAAGGAACTTTTTACATTCAGAGACATTGGCAAAAAAATACAAAATTTATCATTGATGTAGATATCCACATACCTAAAGATGAAATTACCGATCATAAGGAACTTGAAACATCCAGAAGCCTATGAAAAAATACAAAATTTATCATTGATGTAGATATCCACATACCTAAAGATGAAATTACCGATCATAAGGAACTTGGAACATTCAGAAGCCTATGAAAAAAAGACAAAATTTATCATTGATGTAGATATCCACATACCTAGAGATGAAATTACCGATCATAAGGAACTTGAAACATCCAGAAGCCTATGAAATGATGACAAAATTTATCATTCATGAAAAATGTTGGCACATCTACAAGTCGCTGAAAAGAAGCGAAATTTGTCAATCGTAAGGAGGTTGGTAGATGCAGAGACATTATGATAGAGACGAAATTTATCATTTATGACAATCGTTTCACATCTAGAGCCCTCTGCATAGAGATGAAACTACCAATCATAAGGAACTTGGCTTATTCAAAGGCCTTCTTCGTATTGAAGATGAAACTTATGAATCAAAAATATTTTGCTATATTTATCAATCTTGCAGTTAGCACGTATAAGAAGAATGAAGTTATGAAGATGAAACCATTATTTCAAATGAGATGTCTGCAAGAGGTTTTAAACTTGTGATTCAGTAACTGTGGACCTTTGATGGCCCAAAGAAGATGATCACGTGACAGATATATAGGTCTGGCTGTATGGATATGGATGTGACATTTTCTTTAATGGACGAAATCTTTACTTCGTTATTTTATATTTCACGCAACAGTTTATGTGCTTTAGTTTGTTTGTAGTTAAGCACAAAGCTACACAAAGGGCTATCTGTGCTCTGCCCACCACGGGTATCGAAACCCGGATTCTAGCATTGTAAGTCCACAGACATACCGCTGGGCCAGTGGGGGGCATATGCTTTAGTCATCTTAGAGAGTTAAAAAACAAAAAGATGGTACTTGTACGTTTATGTGGCGTCTGGTCCTCACGTCACAACTGTTTCATTATGTCATGCTTCTTACAGGAAACGAATACACTTTAATTTAGGTGAAAGCTTAATTAATTAATTCAAATGAAGGACCATATTCTGTGTTTTATATAGACGTACTTTCTTTGATTAATCAGAAAGGTAATAATATTACATTGAATAATTGCCTGTTTTTAACATATTAGATATTATCTTGAGCCAGTAAATTATATTGATCATAATTTCTTAAAATGTATATCAACGTTATATCTTCAGCATTTATACGGTAGCAATACATAGTTATCTCGTCACAAAATAATAATTTATGACTGATTAAACCTCAATGATTTGTGTCGAAAACATATTCTGTAAAATTTCTTTTTATTTGAATTTATGAATGATTTTTATATAATGAACATTTTACGTTTTAGCAGGACTTAAAATTAAGTGAAATTTAAGAACCTTACAGTTTTTTTTCAAAATGGAAGTAATAAAAGTAGAATTATTACATGATTAAAATGTTGAGGAACTTTTTAAAAATTATTATTTCTTTGTTCGGTGTTATTTCTCGAGTAATAGTTTAAATAAGTGAAATCTTAAACATTCCCAAAAGCAGTCAATAATGCAACAACCTTGCGTGAATCAGTGTGAATGTTATATTGTTATATTAAACTCATGTTTCATGGCATATTTGAACATTCATTTTCAACCAGAAACTAAGATAAATATACCAACAAAGAAAAGTTTATTATTTATGCATTTATTGGTTAGCCTTAAAAATTAAGACTGATTTAAAGGCAATTATTAGAAACAAAATCTCTGATTGAACAAGATTTTCTTTTGGAGCTTCTTCTACTACCTCTTTCTAATGAATTTCAATTTGAACACTCGAACCCACTTCTTTGTGTTTTTAATATAAAAATAAACAGCAATATTTTGGACGCAAGAAACACAATTTTTCCTCATGCAACTTTAATCTCTCTTGAAAAATGTAGTTTGTATATCTATAAGCAAACCTATGTCAGTAAACTTCGGTGTTCAGGTACGAAATTCAACCTTCGACTAACAACTATATGAAAACAAATAGTGTGTTAACATTTTACAAGTCCACGTATCGTGGATAAAAACCTACTAAATTAAGCACAGCTCTGAAACTTTCCTATAGAAAACAAGTTCTTGCATATATGTTGTTATTGTTACTTACTATCTGCATGTTATCACAGTCAATATAAATAAATGCAAAGCTCTATGGTAATCCACGAAGCCCCATCTATTAAGACACGAGAAAATGACTGATCATTGCTTTAAATCTCTTCTTTGCTCCCCTGAAACCTTTTCTTAATCTCGATGTTTTAATTATACAAATGTTTAAAATACCTTTGAAATTCAAGCTAAAAGAAAAATGCTATTTTTTGGTACAAAAGCATCTTTTGACCTGTTTATACATACATAACCAACTTACTGTACAATTTTGGACAGCCGTCCACATGATTGAACATTAGTCTGTGTTCAAACTCTTTATACAAAATCACAAATACTCCGCCTAAGAATCGGTTTGTCACCCGTATTTGCTTGCAGCGGAATATAAAGTAATAAAAAACTTTCTACTTTCTTCTCTCAGGTGTCAGCCAGTTTTAAGAATAAATTTCGTATCACTTGCATGTGTAAATCTCTACATCTGTTACACAAATATCACAACTCACATTGCAACACCAGTGGAACTTACACCTACATCTTTCGCTGTGCCTTATTAGCTGCGTGTTATACCCTCGTCCACAGCATAATAAGTCACAACCGTCGGCATTCTTTGACGTCTTGTTACACTGACGTCCAGTAGTTCCGAGAATACCATTTGCAAGGTCTTGTAGACAAAAATTTGGAGATCTGCGAAGATGGACAAGATCATATTTTCGTACTTTAGGCCTTCTTTTGTCACGACGGCGTAATTTCCTTCGACCTTTCCTCACTCTTACTGATTCTTCGTACTTCTGTTTTAAGTGCGTACCTACTTCATAAAATGATGGCAGCTTTCGCCAACAAGTTTTAAGCTCACAGGACCCAGACACTCCATGACAACGACATTTTAGTTGCATATGTTTGGAGACAGCCTGTAAAATATAGACATAAGATTAATTTTAACTCAGAAAATGTTGGATTTAGTTGTAAGATCATATTATTAACTAATTAAGTGTGCCATAAAATTTTACTCTTTTAGTTTTATTCATTAAAATATATGGAATATTTAATTTAAAATGTAGCTTTTTTTTTCTGCCCCAACTAACAATTATATTAGAACGATTAAAACCACCGAACAACTAAGAAATATGAATTTCCTAAAGCAGCCTGTTTGAAGCAAGTAATAAATTATCACTGTACAGTCGTCAACAAATCTTAAATTACAACACCCATAACTCAGGGATAAGTCTGAAGGCTTATAATGTTAAAAACCGGGTTTCGATACCCGTGGTGGACACAACACATACGGCCTATTATGTAACTTTACGCTTAACAACAACCAAACCAAACCTTAAATTACAGCAATAGTCTTTTAATTTAACTTATAAGTTATAGCAACAGATGGCAGGACCATCACCTCTGTTATTAAATTGTTTGTTTGTTTTTAATTATGCACAAAGCTACACAAGGGCTATCTGTGCTCTGCCCACCACGGGTATCGAAACCCGATTTCTAGCGTTGTAAGTCCGCAGACATACTGCTGAGCCACTGGGGGGGGGCTATTAAATTGAATTGTTTCTTTTAGCGCAAAACTAAACACTGGGTAAAATGTGCTCTTTTGATTGCGGGGAATCTAACCCTGGGTTTTAACCCTGTTAGTCTGTGAATTTACCGCTAACTCACCGGGAGACTGTTAGGTTGAATGATTGTCTGCTCCTAGCATGAAAGTGTATACGTGTCTAGATAAATATTTTCACAACTATTTCAATTAAATTTTTTTACAAAAAACAACAACAGCAAAAAAAAAAAAACGTTTAATAAAACTTGAATTAATTTTTTTTAAATTCTTTAACAAAAGCATAATAATTTAAATATTATGATACTTAGAATTTCAGAGACTTTACATTAGCTTGTACATTAACTCGTTTTTAGACAGTTCTTGAAACTAAAGCTCCAATCAACATTAAATATGAGATAGATTGAACAAGCTTATGAATAACAAGTTACTACTTTATATATTTTATGCTTATATAACTTCGGTTTAAAAAATCATTCACATTATTCTTCTATTTCCGGATTGGTCCCAAAATAATCACTTATTAAAAACAAAAATATATGATTTTCCCGATCTTTCCGTATAAACAAACGTGGTCAAAGGTGCAAAAATCCTATTACATTGCCACCTGCAGGGAAAACTACTTGTACAACGCCGATAAAAATAAAATTTACCACCTGGCATGGTGTAATGAATATGCAAGCTAAACAACATATAAAACATCACTGAATGTATAGGACTAAATCTTTTCCATGTAAATGATAAAGATTTACAAATATACCATCCTCTGGGAACTGACTACTTGTGTGGCCTATACTGACTCGCACTAAACCCAATGAATATTTAATACAGCTCTGCTCGTCACAATTTCCTTGTCACGTGACTTCAGTTGTCTTTCTTCGACACTAGGCTCCCTTGGCGGCCTAATTACTGGCAATTACCGTTACCATAAAACCCTCCTTGATAGCTTTAATTACGTGTATATTTATGCTTTCTGCAAACTTCTTCAATGTCATCCCGGCACCGCCTGTTTGATGGCGTGGTTAGGGTTAAGTCGGGAGACCACACAGAGTAACTTTTGTTCCCGAAATTCCATCTAGGTGGCTTTTACAAGCCAGGAAGCACGAGGAAAGTTCCTTGATGATTAAAAATGTCTGCAAGTAAGTGTTGTGCATGTCTATTATCTACCCACTAGTTAGAGGAACTAGTAAGACAATAAACTGAAAAAAAAAAGTTGTAAAACCAACATGTCATAGAGCATCTGATTTATTAAAAATCATGAAAAAATGTTTGGAGGTTTGCCGTAATTGTTGTTTTGACTTACTGTAAGAAGCGTGGAATAATTAAGATAAATAATTTTGCCTCATTAAATACTCCGCGGTTACTAACTGGGGTTATTCCTTGTTAAGATGAAGTTCGATAAAGTTAGGCTTCCTGTTCGTTTTTCATGTAGCAGTTGTAGACTTTTCTTTTAGAGAAAAGATGAATAACGTGTTCATCAAGTTCTCGTTTAGTCCTGATACAAGTCTTAGGAGCAACATAAAAGCCTTTTACATATGATTCTTGCTAGCCACATGAGACACTGTTTGCTCTTCCTGTTGAAGTTCATTGGGATCAAGCTAATGTCTCAACAACAACATTTACGTTCTTTCTCTTACATAAGCTTTCTTTCTGAGAGCTTAAGAGTGATTCTTTTCTTCTTTCTAAGGTTTTCACTAAACCTAAGATACGGCACACGCCAAGTAGTACTCTTGAATACATTCCGTCTCAGCTCAGCTTCGAGTTGAAGCAAAATTATACTATTTATTATACTTAACACAAGATTAACAAATAAAAGAGAGATATATGCAGAGTATGGAACTTGTGAACTACGGGATTTGCTACATAAGCTCCTATTAACAGTTCAAGTTTTTTGTTGTTTTTTTTCTACAGGGTGACCTTTTCGAAGTTGTCTCGTAGCTCAAAATGCTTTTCCATTTCGCCTTAATAATACAGAAATCAAACAGACGGCAAAATATTTAAAAGTTATTGATGTATTAGGAGTGGCCTCAAATAGCCTGTTGGTTAGGATGCTCGAGTGTCAATCTGCGCCGTTGGGGGCGTTATAATGTGATGGTCAATCCAATTATTCATTGGTAAAAGAGCAGTAGCCCAAGGGTTGGTGGTGAGTGGCGCTGTCTACCTGCCTTCCCTCTAGACTATTACTGCTAAATTAGGGACGGCTAGCGCAGATAGCCTTTAAGCAGTTTTGCGCGAAATTAAAACAAAACAAAACAGTTACAAGGAGTAAAGTTATACAAGCTCTGTAGCATTCTTCGCAGCCCCACAGTGGCTCAGCGGTATGTCTGAGGACTTATAACGCTAGAAATCGTATTTCGATATTTGTGTAACTTTGTGCTTAACTTCAAACAAACATTCCAAACAGAAATTATTCTAACTGATCAGTAATTGTCCTGTATGCATATTAATCTGGAAATGTAAAGGGATTCCACAATAAATAATATAAAAAAATAATACTGTACGGTGTTTTAAAATGTCTTTTACTCACATAATAATTCTATATTTATCTAGAAATTTCAAGAATGTGTAGCATTGATATTTCTAACTTATTTTTGTTAATTATTCAGTCACATAAGCTGTTTAAAGCACTAGAAAAATAAATATCTAAGTAAAAAACTTTTCAAAACATAATACTTATGATATAGATTTAACCACTATATGAATCTTAGTCGTACTCTTTCGATTTTCCCTTGTCCAGATATACTGATAAGGGGTGAAATTCCCCGAAACCTGTATAACTCATTGGCAAGTGTCAAATCGAACGATAGATTGGGCTCCACATTTATTTTTTGATATTAAAAAAAGAACAAAAACAGAGTCTTCTGTCACGAATGAATACTTATGTCAGTTAGTTTCAAATTATTTCAATATATATGTGTGTGTATCATATTTTTAATATTTATGCTTTTTGTACATAATCATATGTTTTTCCAAATTCAAAAATCCCACCATACTGAAAAAGATTTATTCATTTTCTTGTAAAAGCAGACTTCAACTAAACTATCCTGTTTTTTTATAGTTTTAACGGAAAATGAATTATTTAGATTTTTCGCACAGATCTTGGCTGTCCCTAACTTTGAACTGATGGACCAAAGGGAAGACAAGAAGTCAAAAGCACCCAACGCCACCTGTCGGTGTACTTTTATCTGACCGAATAGTGGTATCGCTCATAACTCCAAAGTGCGGAGCACGTTTTTGCAGCAATGGAACGTAATCCGTGAACCCTTTGATCGACAGTCTCGGGCAAACTAACTACAAGGCCACGTCCGGCCTAATGGTTTGTTTGTTTTTGAATTTCGCGCAAAGCTACACGAGGGCTATCTGCGCTAGCCGTCCCTAATCTAGCAGTGTAAGACTAGAGGGAAGGCAGCTAGTCATCACCACCCACCGCCAACTCTTGGGCTACTCTTTTACCAACGAATAGTGGGATTGACCGTCACATTATAACGCTCCCACGGCTGAAAGGGCGGGCATGTTTGGTGTGACGGGGATTCGAACACACGACCCTCAGATTGCGAGTCAAGCGCGCTAACCACCTGCCATGCCGGGTCCGGCCTAATGGAGAAGGTAGACCGAAGATACCTCTATATTATAGAATTTTTTGTATCCATTCACTTGATTATTTTTTTTTACATCCTCATTTTTAGGCACACACATATATGTATATATATATATTATCGTACGATTCCCTTTCGAAACTACAAGCTCAGAATTCAGGTAAAAATGATGGCTTTCGAAAGAAGAACGATTAAGGAATATGAGATAATCCTACACCAAAAACAATTATTTGGGTAAATATTCTTTCGCCCTGACAATATGTCTCATTTATCACAACGTCTCTGCGCCTATCCCACACCGCTTACCTTCTGCGGTAGTGCAATGAAATATGGTGCAATAATTCTGTAGAATAATATTGAAATTATTTGATTGTTAACCAAAAATATGAATAGTTCAGAATATTAAGAACAAAAGTAATGCCTGAAAGCATTGCGTGCAACTTTTTGTTGTTGTTATAAAGGACTTCTTTTCTGATTTTAACCAAACAGAAACAATGCAAAGGTTGTATATCATTATTTCAATTTTTTGATATTGTTAATATTTTAAATTTCAAGGGTTTAATTTATTAACGTATTTCCTGTGTTTCTTTTTTTATGCTTCATTTTCACAATCCACCCACATTGCTGTTCATTAGCTTACACAGGATGCATAACTTGAATATTGAACTGTTCTCTGATTGGAGAACTAGCTGCATGACCGTGAAATAAAAACTCGTTTGTAACAAAGGATAAGAATTTGTGCGTCTATTTTTTGTAACATAATAAAAATAAAAAATGCAATACACTCCAATACTGGAAAGAAATACAAACTTTTTTTTAGGAATTCTATCAATATGAAATTAGATGGGGGGGGGGTCCAACCCCCCTCCTCATGACCTTCCCTCATGTCATCTTGTATCACTATGTCAAGTTGTGCTGATTTGGTAGTTTCTCCGCAATTAGATGGGGGTTCAACTCCTCCCATGACCTTCCTCATGTCATTCTGTATCACTGTGTTAAGTTTGGTGCAGATTGATCACGAAATGTGTAAACGTATAGGGAACAGATATACATGCACACATATTGACGTTTATTTATATAGATGAAATCGAGCATAACATGAATTGATGCTTTTCGTTTACGTGGGACACAAGGAACGCAGACAGCGAGTTACCTTAGAGGAGATTCTTTGAAACTGCTGCTACAAACAAAGTATAGAAAAGAAAGAAGTGTAAGTATTATTAACCTCTTCACCAAATAAGAATTACTTATTAAGAAATAAGTAAATAACTGAATGAGCAATATTTCGGCGTCTCGCTTGAAATGTTTTTAATGAACGCGAAGCCATCTTAACTTATGACGATTATTTGTTTGTTTGTAGTTAAGCACAAAGCTACACAAAGGGCTATCTGTGCTCTGCCCACCACTGGTATCGAAGTCCGGTTTCTAGCGTTATAAGTCCGCAGACTTACCACTGTGACACTGGGGGGGGGGGCATATGACGATTAAAATACAACGCATTACCTGATGCATATAGATAGTATTTTGGAACAACTTACCAGTCTACCCACATTATTTTGTAACAACTTACCAGTCTACCCACATTATTTTGTAACAACTTACCAGTCTACCCACATTATTTTGTAACAACTTACCAGTCTACCCACATTATTTTGGAACAACTTATCAGTCTATCCACATCATTTTGGAACAACTTATCAGTCTATCCACATCATTTTGGAACAACTTACCAGTCATTATTTTGGAACAACTTAACAGTCATTATTTTGGAACAACATACTAGTCATTATTTTGTAACAACTTACCAGTCATTATTTTGGAACAACTTACCAGTCTACCCACGTGATTGTTGTGAAGATTCATCATAGCTTTAAGATGTTGCATTCTCCTTTTCCAGTTTTTCTTTTTGTCATTCTCAGACTGGGAATTATCCTCGGCTGCTGTCTTACGCGGCGTTTTCTCGGTGGCATCAACAAAAAGTCGAGCGAAAGAGATACCGTAACGTACGTTGTCGGAGCAGCCACCCCACTTCCATCCATCTGCCGTACTAGTGTAGCCTTGTTGAGAACGGTCGCAGGCACACACCGTTAGATTTCCCGAGCTACAAGACTCTGTCAGAGCTTGAACTACACCAGCACTGAAGATAGCATGGATAAAAGCAGCCTCTTTGCTTCCTGAGAAGAAAATATAGATTTATTATTTTGTATACAAAGAGTCCCGTCTAGAAAATGCTGACGCTGTTCATGACAGTTTATACAGTTCCTATAGTAACTATGAGTTCGGATATAATATGGCTTTTGGACGTGCTCGTTCTAGTATGTTACACTTAGTAAAATGTCTCCATACACGTAGGATTTAAATAAACTGAAAAGCACTGTGACTATCTTAAAATATAATACTACTGATTATCGAGTTTCTCCACGTGCTTCAAGATAGCCACAAAGCTTTCTTGGACATTTGGCATTTGTAAGAATCATTCTACAAAGCACTTTGCAATGATAATCTTCACTATATTCAAAGCATTTACAAGAGCAGATAGAACTAAACTTGGACCTCATCTTTCTACCTGATTATCCGAAAACCACATATCTCTGGTTACATAAAGATACTCCACATTCCAGCAAAAGGGCAGAAAATCCGTGAATAATTGGTCACTTGTTTAACATTAGTATTTTATTTAGGAGTCTTTGCGGTGGAGTTGTTTAGAACACAGGTAAATGTGGTTTGTGTTGATAACTTAACACTTTTAATTCGATAGAACATGAAAACACAGGCACACGAACTGGTTAGAGCTTTTTTACCAGAAAACAGAGTGTACAGTGGTAACTTTAAACCAAAGTTACTCTACCGTTTCTCTTCGGCTAATTTATTTATTGGCAACCCATTCTGATTTTGAATTAAACTTGCATACCTTCTCTTTTGCTGACCAATGGTTAGTTGGTAGACTTGATCACTGTGTGACCAATGGTTAGTTGGTAGACTTGATCACCGTGTGACCAATGGTTAGTTGGTGGACTTAATCACCGTGTGACCAATGGTTAGTTGGTAGACTTGATCACCGTGTGACCAATGGTTATTTGGTAGACTTGATCACCGTGTGACCAATGGTTATTTGGTAGACTTGATCACCGTGTGACCAATGGTTAGTTGGTAGACTTGATCACCGTGTGACCAATGGTTAGTTGGTAGACGGGATCACCGTGTGACTAATGGTTAGTTGGTAGACTTGATCACCGTGTGACCAATGGTTAGTTGGTAGACTTGATCACAGTGTGACCAATGGTTAGTTGGTAGACTTGATCACCGTGTGACCAATGGTTAGTTGGTGGACTTGAGCACCGTGTGACCAATGGTTAGTTGGTAGACTTGATCACCGTGTGAAGAGCGTACACTGAAACGTTCTTTTAAACTGACAATCTTAATGAAACAAGGAACAACGGTCTTTTACTTTTTAAATAATATCTGTAAATATTACCTAGAAAACACGAAATAATAAGAAACCTTAAGTATATTCAATTCGAAACGCTAGATTATGTCATTACCTTAACACTTCCTTTGGGGTACTACGTTCTTAATATAAATATTTAGTTTAGTATGATGTACAAGTTCATTGTGACGATACTTGATAAAAAAAAATAACAACTATAGAATAATATTCACTCTCTCTACATACTTTTCGACGTCGTTTTGATAAAAAAGTTTATAATATTTCATTGTGACACAAATTAACCCTCAGTCAAACATTAAGGTAAAATTATGTATGAAACTTTGATCTCGCTAGAAGAATTCCTTCATGTTAAGCAGAAGTTGAAAATAACAACACTCACAGAAATAAGATGTTGAAAGAAATACCGTTTTGCAAGTACTCCAGTCTTGAGTAGCGTTTTATTTTAGTTTGTTTGTTTTTGAATTTCGCGCAAAGCTACACGAGGGCTATCTGCGCTAGCCGTCCCTAATTTAGCAGTGTAAGACTAGAGGGAA